AGAAGAAAGTTATTTTCCAATTTCCTTTTGCTGTATTTAAGAGAGAAAAGCTTGCAAAAGATAAAAAAAACCACACAATACCTATCACACTGTCTACACTGTAGAATCAGATCTTCTTCTCTGTAGTTTCGACAGCAGACCGGGCAGGAAGACAAGCTTGCGCAGGGAGCACACTGTGTGTAATTGTTTTGCCATTCACATCTGAGACCTGCAGACGTTGCTCCACAGTGTCTGCACCACACACACCTGGAATCCAATACCCCAAGTTGCAATTTTAGTTGCTTAGTTTTTAGTTACTGTAATTCAAGAAGCTACACATGAACAGAGTAGGGGGAGAGCATTTAATGCATATTTGAAAAATTTTCTGATTAGTGACATCTATCATCGTAAACACATTACACAATTAAACGGACGTGGCTAATTTAAAAAAATAACGTAATGTGGGGAAGTCCTGAATTTAAAAGACGAACAAGGGAAACATAAACCCTAGAGTACCATTTGCACTTCCAGCCTCCTTTGGGGACTGTCTGCAATGGAGGGTCTAGGCAGTAGGTGTGGTAACTTATGTCACAATCATCACACAGCAGGAGTCTTCCTGGGTCAGTTGCCTTCCCACAGGCCTCACACACAGTGCACTCAAGACACCTCCAACCTTTGCTCAAAACCACCTTAGTGATCTGTAAAAGAAACAGCCAATTCGGATGGTTCATATATTAACTTACACCTCATTTTGCATGATCAAATATGCTGTATAAATGAATGTGGTGCTTATTTATACACCTAGAAGCAGAAAAGAGGCAAGCAATTAGCATTCACTGAGCACCCACAGTGGCCCAGTACCAGGTGGGCACGTTTGTATACTTTCAGGAGTGTGCCTACTGGACAGAATAATCAAAATCATACATATCTTACAGCCTTTTTTAAGTTCGTATAACTACCTTGTGCTGTGGGTCTAATGTCCACTTTACAGATGTGGTAACTGGATTTTAAAGAAATCAAGTAAATGGTCCTATTACTGTTAATGCAGTTAATTTCATCTATGACATTTCAAGAATTCATTATTCTGAAACTTGGGTACATTGCATAAGGGATTTGTATATTAAAATCAATATAAAAATACAAGAAAAATTAAGGTACAATCTGAGTTCTCAAGGCCAGTTTATGGTCTTGGAGGATTTTAGGCTATGAAGCTAGGACTTCAAGTTCACATTTACTCCTCTGCCTCAAGGGCAGTAGAAAAGTTTGAGAATCTCTATACTTCTGATCAATTCCTCAAAGTAGCCATACCATGTAATATTAAAAATCTAAAATCAACTTAAAGATCTCAAAAGACTACAGTCTATAGATAAAAAGGACCACAAAGTGCCTGTTATGATGAAACAGCAAGCCATCAACATCCATACTAAACCCCAATCGTGAGGATTAAGAACATCTAAAAGCTGCCTGAGAAGTCAAGAAGAGTTAAATAAAGGAACAACTTTCAAAATAGCACCAAATTTTCCAACTTTGGATGCTAAAATAGAGTAAT